AATATGATATATATATATATATATATATATATATATATATATATATATATATATATATATATAAGATGACTTGGCACCCCTCATTAGCCAAGAATTCTATTTATTTTTTTCTCCTTTTTTTTGTTGCCTTTTTCACTACTTTTTTATTTATCTAATAATAAGAATAAATATTGTTGTAATTATAAGAACTCATTTATTACAAACACTAAGGTTTAATTATAGCTCCATGATGAATAAGGGAAGAGAGAAAATCAATTTCAAAACTGAAAGACATACGTTTATTGACTTAGCAAAGGAAGGAAATTACAACCTTCTTTATTTTCCCAACTATTACAACCTTCCTCCATATATAAAAGGAATGAAAAAGTAGTCTTCATTTCAACCTTCTCCTATTCAATCTTATTTTGTGATGAATGAAAATTCTGGTGGCCAAGCATCTATTAAGGTATAATTATCTACTTTCCTAATCAATCTATTTTTTATTGTACATTGAGATGAAAATATATTGGTTTCTCATTTGATATGCCCCATCAGTGCCTTTACAATGGAGAAGAAATTGTTGGAGGAGAGGAAGTGATGACCTGTCATGTGGAAGCTCCGAGTGAGAAGCCCGTGGATAGTTTGCAGCTTCATGTTTGGTTGGTGTTTAATTTTCAGGTATATCTATTTAAGTTTCGATCTATTTTTTCAAATTTTCTATCATGTTGTAACTTATATTTGTTTTCCTCTACTTGTGTCGCAGTCATCGAAGGTAATTAATAGAGCACCAAGGTCCAAGGAACAAGAGGACTTGGTCCTTCCACAAGAACCGCGGATACAACTCGATATCCTTCAAGAAATGGTAGAATTTTTCTATAATATTTGTCTCAAGAGACAAGAAATTCTTCGCATAAAATTTGAACAGTTGTAATAGGTAACTTATCCATTGTTGTGGTTCATAGCAGAATCACGACAATATGTTTATTACTAAAGATATGAATTTTCTTTTATAAAAATTAAGAAATTATAAAGTAGTCCTGTCACCATTTACAATCTAAAACTATAGCATCACAAGTTTAGAGTGCTTGGTTAGACATCTTTTATTCGGCACTAATTATATGAAGAAAATATCTTGAAATATTGTAAAAAAGAAAGGGGAACAAGAATTCTAAAGTGTTTGATTAAGATCTTTACTCTAAACTAATAATATAAAAAGGAAAAAAGATTATCTTTGCAATGATCTTGTAGGATAAAAGAACGAACAAAAAGAAACCTTCCGTGTTTATGATAAATAATTGTTGATAGAAACTAAGGGTCCACTAAACTATATAGAGAACCTGGTTCTCTATTAGTTCCCACAGAATACACACACACATAACAGTAAAAAATAACACAGTAGAATTTTACGTGGAAGACTCCCAGCTCACGGGATTAGAAACCACGACCTACACTCGTAGGATTTCAACTTCACTACTGAGCAAACTTCAGATTACAAGCTATTGTAACCTAGGAATTAAACTCTTAATCCCTCACTCACTTGTAATAACTCTATTACAAGCTCCTTTCTAATAACTCTATTACAAAGCTTACAACTCGTCTAACTCTAGTCAAGACACAAATACAAGGTTTATGATTTAATAAAAGGTTTACTACACAATACTTCTGGAATAAGCTAAGTAGGAATTACACTTTAACAAAGGTGCAACACAACTAAGGACATATAATAACTCAATGCAGAAAAATGGTCCTTCTTTATGTTGTTCTCTGTTCTTGAAGATGTTTTGGTGCAGGTGGATAAGTTCCCTTGGTGCCAATATCTTTGCAGCTGGCAGACCAAACGACTATAACACCCGAGGGGATAGTAGAAGATGTTTTGGTGCGGGTGGATAAGTTCGTATTTCTTGTAGATTTCATAGTGGTGAATATGGAGGAGAACAAGTAAGTCCCCTTCATCCTAGGAAGACCATTTTTAGCAACGGGTAGAGCTATACTGGATATACATGATAGAAAACTCATGCTTAGAGTAGGTGAGGAGACGGTGACATTTGAGATAAATGTAGCAACTAGAGTGAAAATGGAGAAGCCTGCTGCAAGTGTAGAGTGGAAAGTGAAGGGCGTGAAAGAGAAGGCGGCAACTAGTGAAAAAGATAAGTGTGGGGTGTACCCCAAAAAGGCTGAGAAGAAGATGTCTGTGTGGATATGTGCATTGGTTCGGGCGTGTTTAACGGAGCCCGACTTCGAATCAGACTCCGAATAGAGATTCAGGGAAGTTTCCTCTACCTTATACTTTTTAATTGTGTGTCATGAGGACATGCCACAACTTAAAGTGTGGGGCGGGGGATATGTTTGTATGTATGTTGTATGTATATTAAGTTGGTTAGGGTTTTTTTGGTTAGTTGTAGTAGTTTGATAGAAAAATATTGAAAATCCATAAAATTTTTAATGGTATGCCTCTCTAGATTACAAGAACTAGTGAATATAGATGCAATGATTAAAGCACCCAAAATGATTCAATACATAAAACTAGAGCTAATTATCCACAAACAAGTATTAATCCACAAAATCCATCAAACCCTAAAGAGAACTACTCCATGGATATGGAGTAATACATCACAAATAAAAAGAAAAGTATAAAACGATCCAAACTCTTGTCTTGAGTGAGGATTAAATGATGAATTTCTTGTGCTTTGGCTTCTCCACCTTCTCTCTAGCCTCCTTAGGTCTTAGATGCTTCTAAAAGTCAAGAAAATACCGTTTTTCCATGTATTTATACCAAGTTGGGCCGGGCCTAGACGAAATTCCCTTTTCCTAGCCGAAATAAGAAAAATTGAAAACTTATTGCTTTTCATGCGTTGCACTGTGCATAGCAGGGTGCGTAGGATTAGTGCTTTTTCCTGACAAACCCCAAAATCCCAGTCTCTGAAGTTTGCTATTTTCTGATAGATTTTTACATTGATGCGTCCCACTGTGCGTCGCTCGGTGCGCCGCATTAGTTGGGAATTTAGGAAAATGCAAAACATTAAAGTACCCGTTGAGTTAGCTTTCCAACGATATATTGTGGAGCCCAAACGAAGTTCTGAGTGAAAAGTTATATGCATTTTACTGGACACTGCACAATACGCCTGCTCAATTCTTCGTTTCGTTCCACTATCATCCATTTATCCCCGAAATCGATCCCAACTTAATCCTTGGGCTTTTACTCAGACTTCAAAGCTCCAGAATAGCTTGAATATTTTCCATAACATCTATATAGATCGGAATCACTCCCTACAAGGCATAAAATACACAATTAGTGCAAAACACTAGCGATTAAAGCTTCAACTCAATTAAAGTGCAGTAAATTAGAGTGTGATAAGCGACTAAAATATGAGATTATAGCCTACCATCAACACCCCACACATAAATCATTGCTTGTCCTCGAGCAACCATACTACACTTCATAATGACACGACCTTTTTAAATAATTCTCATAACTCATCATTCCAAGAATAATTAATATAGATTAAGCACTCTAACGTAACATCCTCGCCTCAAGATTTGACTCAAAAGCACCATACATTTTTCACAACCCACTCACCTACTCTAACATAGAGGTCAACGACATTACCTTTCCTTCGTGAATTAAGTGCCCTCACACAACAATAGAGAGTTGTTTCACACACAATAAAATTTAAGAACAATCAGGAACTCAAGATAGAAAGAATTCACTCATTCTCAGAAACAACATTCATATGCCACAAAAGACGTACCATAGGCTTGCCCGTAGTGTACTACTCTACTAATCGAGCTCATTCAGTCAAGGATCAAGTAGGACTTTAATTGGTTGTAATGTAGGCTGCGAGACAGGCAGGATACATATAGATATAAGAGTGACTACACCTCCCTAAGCACTTTTAATGCATACAATTTAACATTCAAAACCCCACATTTATGTCAAACCATATTCACCTTCACATCAATATACATCAACTCCCAATTTTTTTAAGCACAATTACATCAATTTTTACAATTTTCACAATCATACTATTTTATCATTTTTTTCTTTCAATTCAAGTGGCTCTTACTTTTTCAAACTAGTGCACCTTTCTCCTTATTTCATTAGTTCCACTCAAAAGCCAAACCAACTACCCCACACTTTAACTTTTACAAAGTTCATAATAATTTCAAGTGCTCACGAGAGGTACAAGGTTCAAATAGATGGTCAATTCAAACAAATGGGTAAGGCTTGTAATGTGGTTGCCAAAGAATCAGGATTACAGGCTCAAAGGGGTTAACTAAGATACAAAATAATTAGGTGGGTAATACCATATAACTGACTCAATAAAGAAACGCCTATATCACTTCCTAGACTGAACAAAACTACAATTTTGCAAATACACGGGGCAATTTCTAGACATTAAATACAATGCACAGAATAATACAAAACCTCACACCCACATGGCACATAACTCACTCAGGATTGGACTATCAAGACACTCTAGTCAAAGCAATTAAGAAAAATTAAAATCATATAGTTTAAGGCACTCATACAAGAGTCAAAAACTGAGCCTAAGCGTCACAACTAAAGCACTCACTATTCTCAAGGCATGATCAAGTCAAGAGATATTTCTTCTATTTCAAATCATAGCACAAGGTTTCTCCACTCCTAAAAACAAAAACTAACTATACCCGATTCAAACCAAACCCTTGGAAAAGAACCGCGGCACAAAGAAAAACCAAGGGGGAATTATTACACTACCTACAGAAGAAAATCTTTTTGTCTTTTTTCTTTCGACTTTAATCCCTCAAGAAACCTGTCGAACGATATCCGTTGTCGAGAAAAGATGAAAATTTTAAAACTTTTATGGATTTTCAATATTTTTCTATCAAACTACCACAACTAACCAAAAAAAAAAAACTAACCAACTTAATATACATACAACATACATACAAACATATCCCCCGCCCCATACTTTAAGTTGTGCCATGTTTCCACGACACAAAATTAAAAAGTATAAGGTAGAGGAAACTTCCCTGAATCTCTATTCGGGCTCTGAGTCGAAGTCGGGCTCCATTCCACGCGCCCGAACCAATGCACACATCCATGCAGACATCTTCTTCTCAGCCTTTTTGGGGTACACCCCACACTTATCTTTTCCACTAGTTGCTGCCTTCTCTTTCACGCCCTTCACTTTCCACTCTACACTTGCAGCTGGCTTCTCCTTTTTAACTCCAGCTGCTACATTCATCTCAAAGGTCATCGTCTCCTCACCTACTCTAAGCATAAGTTTTCTATCATGTATATCCAGTATAGCTCTATCCGTTGCTAAAAATGGTATTCCTAGGATGAGGGGGACCTCCTTGTTCTCCTCCATATTCACCACTATGAAATCTACAGGAAATACGAACTTATCCACCCACACCAAAACATCTTCTACTATCCCCTCGGGTGTTATAGTTGTTTGGTTTGCTAGCTGCAAAGATATTGGCACTGACCTTATCTCTCCAATCTCCTTCTCTAGTTTCCTGTAAATAGATAATGACATTAAATTAATTGAGGCACCTGAATCACAAAAGATTTATCAAAGTTAAGAGTGCCTAAAGAGCAAGTTATAGTAAAACTCCCCGGATCTCCATACTTTTGTGGGAGTTTATTTTGCAAGATAGCACTGCAATGCCTGTAAGTTTGACCACTGAGGTCTCTTCTATCTTCCTCTTTTTTGTAAGAATCTCCTTCAAGAATTTGGCGTAAGCTGGCATTTGTGAGAGAACTTCTGTGAATGAGAAGTTTACATTAACCTGTCTCAGCATATCTAGATATCTCTCAAACTGCTTGTCCAGCTTTTCTCTATACAACTTTTGGGGAAAAGGTAAAGCAGGCATGTGCCTGCTCTCTTCATTGGATTCCTCCCTTCTTGAGGTTTCCTCTTTTTTTCTTTTTCTTAGCTCCCTTCTTGCCTTTCTTCTTCTCAGTCTTTTTATCATCATCTTCAATTTTTAGCTCCTTCCCACTTTCTTTTTCAGGCGCAGCTTTTTTTTTTGAATTGGAGTGGGATCTTTCAACACTTGTCCGCTTCTCAAGGTCACATCATTTACCATTTCTTTGAGATTCTTTTCAGTATGAGCTGGCAGAGTACTTGGGATCCTCTCAGATAATATAGTTGTAATTTGTCCCACTTGTCTCTCCAAGTTAGCAAACCTGTCCCCAGTTCTTTGATAACTGCACCATGAGCATCCAATCTCTTACCTCTCTTGACAATGAATGACTTCATTATATCTTCTAACCCAGACTGAATTGCATGTTGAGGCTGAAACTGCGGCCTCTGTTGATTCACAAAACCAGGAGCTCCTTGAAATTTGGAGTTTTTTTGTTGCCATGCATTTGCTGTACCCCTAGGTGAACTCCATGAAAACCGAGGTGCTTCTGACCCATTGCATTGAAGTTGTAATTACCCACAACATTAACTTCCTCCATTGAAGCTTGACACTCATGAGTATGGTGTCCTCTTCCACATATATCACATGCTGCATGAGGCTCATTATGTATTGAAGCTAAGGTTAGCTTCCTTATTTCTTTTGCCATGGCATCAAGCTGTACCTGCACATATATGTTAGCATCAACTTGGTGAACACCCGTTCTTCTTCTTCTTTCAGCAACTTCAGAGGGCTACTGATTAGCATCTTCAGACAACTCATCTAGAATAGTGACTATCTCCTCTAGAGTCTTCTTCATCAATGGACCACCCGCTGCGTTGCTCAATGTCCTGCGTGAAGTAGGTGTCAATCCATCCCAAAAATCCTGGAGTTGCATCTAGAGTTCTATTCCACTATGCTGACACTTACGCACTATTTTTTTGAATCTCTCCCAAGCTTCAAACACAGTTTCAGTATCATTCTGACAGAAGTTGTGAATTTCCCTTCTAAACTTGCCCGTTTTAGCTGAGGAGAAATATTTAGCAAGTAATTTTCTAGTCATCTCCTCCCATGTTCTAATTGATCCTTGGGGCAAGCTTCTTAGCCAGTGTTTTGTATCATCTTTTCGAGTAAAGGGGAATTCCCTTAGATAAACTGTATCTTGTGGCACACCATTATATTGAAAGGTGTTCATGATCTCCTCGAAGTCCATCAGATGATTGTTTGGATCTTCGTTCATCTTTCCTCTGAAGACACAACTGTTTTGGAGGGTTTGGAGCAACCCTTGCTTTAACTCAAAATTATTGGATGCAACTGGAGGTGGTCTCACACTGGATAAACCTTGGTTTTAAGCCGGTCTAGCGTAATCACCAAGTGGTCTCCCTTGGCTTGGGGCTATGTTTCCGAACTGGCATGGAACCAAAGGCTGATTCTGAGCTAGTCTTCGAGTTGTCTCCTCCTCATAAGTAATGTGTGCATCTCTGTGTGCTGCTTCTTCAGCATCTCTTGCAGCCTTCTCTCTGAGTTGGGTTGCCTCTCTCGCAGCCAAATCAACAGTATCATCATCTCCCGCCATCTTTTCTTTGGTTGAGGATTGCCCAACCGTCTCTGTATTCTCGGGAAGATTTCTTTCCTTTCTCAACTGTCGTAGATGTTCCTCGATTTCTGGTTCGTATGGTAGCAATTCCTTCCCAGAAGATCGGGTCATGCACCAATCTAACCTATAGCCGGCACACAATCAAAGAACACCCAAACGTAAAAAGAGAAAAATAAAATAAAAATAAAAAGAAAAATTCCTGAATTAGCACTACAAACTATTTCAAAAACTATTGATTGCCAATTCCCGGCAGTGGCGCCAAAATTTGACGAGCTTAAAACACACACATAAATATGCTCGCTAGTCGAATATAGTAAAATAAAATATCGTATCCATAGGGATTGGAGTTAAACAGTTATTATCGTAGTTTGTAGCTTGATTGCTATCCAAGATGATCAACGATTTAGGGTTTTGTGTTTAATACTAAAATTAACTAAGAATCTAAACTATTGACTAGTGACAAACAACAAAAGTAATAGGCAAAGAAAGATATCTATATGGAGAAAATAAGGTTGATAGGATAGGTGCAAGATAAATGTTTGGGATTTAACTCTAGATAATTCACTTTTAATGTTCAGTCTCTCGAATTCACTTGGTTATTAATTCAATTTTTTAGTAGAAACTCCTCTCTCGATTAAGTCTCAACCTCACAAGATGAACTAAGTTAAGCTTGGTGAAGATATGCAAGAATTCGTAGTGGGTTGGTCTTTAGAAGAACCTCTTTCGATTATCCTCCTAACTTAGTCTAATCAACAATTCAACTAGCCTCTTTCGATTACTAAGAAGAATTAATGAATTCAACCAACAAAATATAATGCAAGAATATCACAAGTTATACCTCTCTCGATTACATGAACTAGTGGATATAGATGCAATGATTAAAGCACCCAAAACAATTCAATACATAAAACTAGAGTTATTTATCCACAAAAAAGTATCAATACACTAAATCTATCAAATCCTAAAGAGAACTACTCCATGGATATGCAGTAATTCATCACAAATATAAAGAAAAGCATAAAACGATCCAAACTCTTGTCTTGAGTGAGGATTGAATGATGAATTCCTTGTGCTTTATCTTCTCCACCTTCTCTCTAGCCTCCTTAGGTCTTAGATGTGTCAAAAAGTCCAGAAAATACTGTTTTTCCATGTATTTATACCAAGTAGGGTCGGGCCTAGACGAAATTCCCTTTTCCTAGCCGAAATAGGAAAAATTGCAAACTTATTGCTTTACAGTGTCGCACTGCATAGCATTAGTGCTTTTTCCTGACAAACCCCAAAATCCCAGTCTCTGAAGTTTGCTATTTTTTGACAGATTTTTACATTGATGCGTCGCACTGTGTGTCGCTCGGTGCGCCGCATTAGTTGGGAATTTAGGAAAATGCTAAACATGAAAGTTTTATCCCGTTGGGTTAGCTTTCCAACGATATATTGTGGAGCCCAAATGGAGTTCTAGGGGAAACGTTATGTGCATTTTACTGGACACTGCGCAATATGCCTGCTCGATTCTTCGTTTCGTTCCACTATCATCCGTTGATCCCCGAACTCGATCCCAACTTAATCCTTGGGCTTTTACTTAAACTTCAAAGCTCCAGAATAGCTTGAATTCATTCTATAACATCTACATAGATCGGAATCACTCCCTACAAGGCATAAAACACATAATTAGTGCAAAACACTAGCGATTAAAGCTTCAACTTAATTAAAGTGCAGTAAATTAGAGTGCGAATAAGTGACTAAAATATGAGATTATACCATCAGATTTCAACTTCACTACTGAGCAAACTTCATATTACAAACTATTGTAACCTAGGAATTAAACTCTTAATCTCTCACTCACGTGTAACAACTCTATTACAAGCCCCTTTGTAATAACTCTATTACAAAGCTTACAACTCGACTAACTCTAGCCAATACACTAACACAAGGTTTATGATTTTACAAAATATTTCCTACACAATGCTTCTGGATAAGCTAAGTAGGAATTACAAGTAAATCACTTTAACAAAGGTGCAACACAACTAAGGACATACAATAACTCAATGCAGGAAATTGGTCCTTCGTTATGTTGTTCTTTGTTCTTGAAGCCTTGAAAGTCACTTGCTAGATGGCAAAACACTTGAGAGAAAACTTGATTAATTCTTGGATGTGCAAGTGTGTATTTTTCCTTTGCTTCATGTTAATATTACCTAAGTGATGTCACTAGGATGATGCAAGCATATCGGGTACAAGGACATTTCCCATAAAGTAACCACTGCACTGTATGCACTGTTACATGTGTGCAGAGGAACAGTTGCAGCAACTTTACAGCTGTGGGGAGTTGACTAGTACAATAAGCAAAAGAACTGATGTCCATCTGTTCCCTCTGTTGTCTCTTTGACTCTGAATGTTGGAACATGTGCCAGTCTTGAGACTCGTTGTTCTTGAGCACTTTGAGGATATAGAACAGGTTCCCCATCTGGTTCTTATCATTAAGTTTGTTAGATCATCAAAATATAAAAGAGCACATAACCTATCAATTTTCCCCTTTTTGATGATGACAAACTTGTAATTGAAGTTCCCCCTAAGAACCAGAGTACCATGAATATTTCTTGTATTTCCCCTGAACTTGTTCCCCCTCAATTAGTTTTCCACCTTTTGGCATCATTAAAAGATTAGTTACAAGTAATTAGAAAAAAAAAAGTCTAGCATGGTTAACTCATGCCATATGTGTGCACACAAACATGGCTAAGAACAGAGCATAAGAGTAAAGCATGCATAGCAAAAGGACGGAATACTCATTAATTATAAATGAAAGGGAGCAGAATCAGCAGTACCATTTGTTACACAACAATTCACAAAATAAAACAACTTAAAAACTACCATCCACCAAACACAGCGAAACAAAAGGACCAAAACAGAGGACAGACAACTTTGAACTGGACACTGGGAAGGGAAACTGTTTTAAGGAGCATTGGAAAGGGGAGGCAGAGATGAAGAGGCAAGGGTTATAAGGAGGATATCTATTCAAGAATTTGCTAACACTTGCTCATTAAGCAGCCTCTCCTTCAGGTCCTCAACCTGTTTCCTGAGGTCAGCATTTTCCTTGGTCAGACGGGCAACCTCTGTGCCTTGTGTACTGCTGGAACCGGGTGCCTCCTGGGCCTGACTAAGTTGTCCCTCAAGAATAACATTTCGTGCCCTCAACTTCCTTATCTCTTCATTGGCAACATTCTGAGCCTCAATCAGTTGAGAAATATTGGAATTGCTGCCAACCCCTCCTTTCTTATCAATGCACTCACACTCTTCTAAGGTGGTCTTGGAGAAGGTTTGCTTGTGAGTACCCACTGTATCCTTTCCCAATGGGACTTTGAAGAAGTTAAATACCATAGTG